CGAAGGGGATTAAAGGTTCGGACCTCCAAATCAATATATATATATATATATATATATATATATCGACCAAAGGTTCGATACTTTTGAACCCACCCCGTATACATGGTGTCTCTCTCCGGTAGTACTTTAAACTTTCTAAGCAGCATTTTGTTAATTGCCTGAAGAGATAACTTTGGTCCTATTTAAGCGACTTTCCGAGATCTCACCGGTGAGGGTCGCATTTGAAACATCCTTAATAATGTGCATTGAGATTTGCTTAGTACGTAATCCTCTCGTCATTAGGTCTGAATTGTGTCAATGTTGAGTATACAAATTTTTACGGAAGTACATAGGCATCACTCTATTATTTGAAGAACTTCATTCTGTATTTATGAACGAAAAATGCGACACGAAAAATACAAAACCTATAATAATATAAATACAGCGAATTCAAAATGTTTCTGACCCACAACTTATTTTTTAAATGGATCAATTCAACATGCTAAAATTAGAGGTGTTGGAATTGATGGAGTATAATAATCACTGAAAATTGCGAAAATGGGATATCATGTTTTTTAGGTATTACATATCTGAATCTCGAAAAACCATTGTCACTCTTTTCCGTCAGTCTGTCTGTCTGTCGGTCTAGCGGCTAATCCTTGGTTCGTCTATAACTTAGGAATTACCGTTCGGATTTCAATGACCTTTTCACACAGGGTTACTATTATGTAGGCGAAAAAATTCAGGAGTTTTTTTAAGTCGATCCTGAGATCCTGGTAATTTTCAGGGAGCATTAGTGAGGATTGTAATTGTGGCATCTTTCATATCGATGCAGAACATCTTATCATTAAGAGGTTTCTGGCCGGTAGTAACAATCTATTTGCCTAACAAAAATCCGGTGAATATTGTACTCACAATTCGAGATAACTGGAACCGCAGCATACACGATCCTTTGACGCTACAACGTGACAACAGCGTAGAGGTCAGCATAAGGCGGCACGCGGAACAGATAACTGTGGTGTACCCACGGCGACAATAGGAACCTCGAGAAAGGGGAAGAATAATCTGGAATATTTATAATTGGGCATTGTTTCGATATTGGTAGTGAATCTCAGTAGATACTTACATATTTACGTAGATAAGAAAATTAGTTATGATACATACAAACATGTAGGGTGGATTTTACCGAGGTTGTCAATTTGACAAGCCGTTATTTTCCACATATAGGGTAACAGTCCGTCAAATATAGCTGATGAGCTTTGAGATCCATTCAACAAATTTTAGCAACCAATGGCTGTGAAATATTGAAAACAAAATATTGTCAAAGTATTAGAAGACTGCTTGCCATTAAAATATCACCAGCTTATCGAATATTAAGAAATTACGTAAGCTTCAGCAAGAATTTTAAAAATAGTTTATTTATTCACTATTGTTGGTAGTTTATTCATGTTTATATTATTTTCAGGAGTTGATATTGTGATTTTACTGATTTAACATCACCTACCGTGGTCTTCTTACTATAAACCTCTTGCAGAAAGCCATTAAACACATTCTTGGTTCTACCAAATTTTCATAGATATTGATCGTTTCCAAACATTCATTCATTTACTTGGCGTTCACCAACGTTATGGCACCTCATATTGATATTCGTACAAAACCATTCAGGATTTTTGATATCCATATACCCATACAGTTAAATATTTTTCATTGTCCAGGCAGTGAACACACATCCACACTAGGCATACATGGAAGAGAAATACCCTAGCGTATGTCGTAAAGCTCCCAGGAAACATAAAACCTCCAATAAAACTAGAATTTGCAATAATTTTATTCTTTCGCGGAGTACACATTCTAGGTTATATTATAATTTGAATTTAAACAATTAACTGCGGTAGTTTTTACTGGTATCCATTACTGTAGAATATCAGCTGATTATAATAATAATAATAATAATAATGTCTTTATTCCCACAAAAGAAAATACAAAACAAGTTGCAAAACCAGTTTTATATGAACATATAGTGGGAGGGGAGAAGTTCGGCATATCCGCTCTTCCACTTATCCCCTGGTTTTAGGTTTACATCATAATAAGATAAGCATATATATATATAAATATGTAAATGAGGTAAAAAAATATATGCATGTATAAGCAGTATCAGAGAACGGACCCTAGCGGCTAATTTGATAAATGGTACTATAAAAATACATAATGACTCCAAAGTCATACCATGCAATTAGCTGCAATGTAATAGCGTATACGTTTTTTACACAAATCAATAGAAAGAGAAGTATACTCTCACGGGATATTATTATAAAGTTTACTGATATTATACGAAAAAGATCTTTCGAATAAGGTGGTAGAATGAAAACGCGGTGTGAGTTTTGTTTTGTTGCGGGTATTGCGATTGTGAGCTAAGTAACGGAAATGGATTTTTTCGTGTAAGTAGGGTGGTAGTTTATGTATAATAATCTTATGGTACTGTACGAGGCTATGAAGCAGCCTGCGTTGCTTCATGTTTAGCCAGCCAGCATCAGTAAGCTTTGATGAAACTGAATCGTATTTTCTTAAACCAAAAATAAGTCTCGGACAAAATTTTGCACGCGTTGTATTTTATCAAAGGTGAATTTAGTTAGACATTTGTCATAGACGACATCACAGAAGTTAAAATGCGACAGAACAAGAGAATTGCATAGTATGACTTTAGTTTTTTGGTTCATGTAAGATGTTTGACCGTATATCGTCTTTAAATTACTATACGCCCTTCTGGAGCACTTGCTAACATGATCCTCAAACCTTAAGTTTTTGTCAAGCCTAAATTACGCGCTATCGAGCTTATTTCTAATGTATTGTCATCGAGGTTTATTTTCACCAGAGGTTCACAATGGTCTCTCCAATTTTTCGGCCCGAATAACATGACTGCACTTTTAGCCGGATTCAAGTCTAAGCATATGTTTCGAGACGCTTTAGTGAGACGGTCAAGGTCTTTATTTATCAGATCAACAGCAGGAAATGTTTGAGCTGGAGGAAATGATAAGTACACTTGTGTATCATCTGCATAAAAATGAGCTTATCTAGTGATATTTCAAGTGACACATAATTCTAACGCCAGGTAGACAGATCCGTATTTTGTTGTTACTTTTTACACGATACAGATTCATTTGGTACTTACTGGCAACTCTTTTATTTATAAAAGTTCCATCTCATATAAAAAAGCGGTACAAGCAAAATGGCTGCTAATGATCCTGACTAAATTTCAAGTCAGTTAGTGATAAAATAAGATAAGCAGTCTTTGACTATGTTAATCATCTTTATTTTTAGAACTTGAAATACCATATGATTTTAAAGGGTAGTGAAACAGCTGTACAATTAATTCCGAATTTGTGGCAGTATATGACCGAATTGATAGAGGTTCGATTTCCTAAATGAGGTCTGAACTATTGCATGAACATTACTCAGATAATGCCAAATAGTTAGAAGTCAGAAAAATGTAAGTAAAATGTACAGGAAGTCATGAAATGCATTCAACTAGGACAATGCAATGCCTGTGAATGTCGTGTCTGTAGCTATTCAAGTTTCAGATTGATGCAATGCGCAAGATCAATTCCGTTTACGTCTATGGTGCTTTAAACAATTCATTCATTATGAATTTTTATGATAGGTTCTGCAGATACTTAACCTGTATTCGAATTATGTTACAATGATGCGGGACAATTAACCACAAACACGTGTCCATATTGTTCTTACGTGTAAAATCACAGCTACTGGAAAGGACAATGTCGCCGCTTGGTCTATTCACTTACTTTGTAATCAATAAGTCCCAGATGTACCATAAAAATTTTCTAATAATCATTTTTTATTTGCACTTCGTACATCTTATGAAAAATAGAAGTTACAAATAAACTATTGACGAATATGAATGGGTATGCATAGAATTTGAGGCTTAATGGTGCTTGCAAATTAATAAAGGTTGGTTTCAATAATTATACACATTGTAACTGTATAAGTATAAACAAAACCACTGGAGTAATGGTGTTCTTATTTTAAGCAAATTTATATCTCACGTCCATACATAAATTCATATTGCAAGTTTCAAACTTCCTGTGCATGTTAAATCTTAGACTTGCGCCGGATTTTTCGGTATTTTTACCGAAATGAGAATATTTACCGAAAGTCATTTTCCACGACTTTTCAAAGTAATTTAAATACTTCCATACTTGCCGAAAAAGAGCTGGAACCAAAAATAAAGATAAAAGTGAATTTTCTGTAGTCTTAGTAGTTTTATGCCCCATATCAATCATACATAATATGCATACACACTCAGGCAGTCAGGCACACCAGGGGCGTGCAAAAGGTACACACTGGTTAGATTACCGTCATTACCACATCACCGGACAAGCAATAAGGAAACCGAAACCTCTCTGTTTCCAAAATGAATATTTAATCAAAATGTGAGGTGAGTTCATGAGTTCAGTGGTAAAACAGAAACATATTCACAATCGTATAAGCAAGAATCGAAAAAGGAGTTTCCAGGATGGTTGCAAAGGACTTTGTTGAGTTGTAATATAGAACTATGCCCTCAAAAAACATAATGTTGTGTTCGCGATCAATACAATAATAAACTTTGGTCATAGACGGTGATGCATGACTCAAAGGCCATTCACCACTGATCTTGCGACAGCCCAGATTTTTCTCCTTCCGAATTCAACGACACTATTTACTATTTACTATTCTTTTTTTTTTTGGTTCGGCAATGCTGCAGAAGACTCCAAGGATAGTTGAGATTCCAGACTTGTTCCAGATCAAATAAATGATATATAACAACAAGTTTTGCAAATACTTTTGTAAATAGGTATTGTTGATTCTGACTTATAATATCTAGACGTTGAATAATAGGTGAATGCGGATACATTTACAAATATCGATGCTCTAGGACCCAGCAATGCAGGATGTGCTGTTTGTTTACATTGATTTGGATTTCCAGATCAGGAACTGGTAATAATTATATGATTAAACGAACTTACCTAAGCGAAGTTTAATCCTAATTATATGGAGCCCCGTCCGAAGTAAATAAGCTAGTTGTAGTATCTCGGATTGGTGTCAGCACTCACACATTTTTAAAGAAAACAAACCATCCCCTGCCCGCGGCCCTGCCTCAGTCCCTAGATGTATCGGTGCTGCCTGTTCATTCCTGTTTAAAGTTTTGTTGCAACTGTTTTGGGATGGGTTGGGTGGGAGCTTATTTACTTCGGACGGGGCTCCATATAATTAGGATTAAACTTCGCTTAGGTAAGTTCGTTTAATCATATAATTATATCTCGCCCCGTCCTCGTAAATAAGCTAGTTGTAGTTGTTTAAAGCAAGTTGCAACAAGGAAGGTAGTACGCAGTGTATAGGGGAACTTACGTTTATTAGAGAATAGTAATAACATGAAAGGTTGATTAACACTTTTATGAATCTAGTACCGCATTAGCAAAGTCCAGTTCTTTGGATAATAACGGCTTTTTATAAAAAACAGCAAACGTTTTTGACTTCTCCGTCCAGCCTGCTGCAGTCCGTATCGTATCATAGCTAACTCCTTTCCGGTCGGCAGCAGACGTAGACGCGTGTCGGGTGCTATGAGCACTAAATACATCAGTATCTACACCGCTTCTGTTCAGAACTCCTTTTAACCATCTGCTAATAGACTGTGTGGTAGCGGCTCTATGGGGTTTTTTAAAGGTTAAGAATAGGGCGCTCGTTGAGTTCCTAATTTCTTTAGTTTTTTCTATGTATGATAGCAAGGATTTTGCTGGACAGATATTAATGTCACTGGTGTAAAATGGCAATACTAAGACATGTTGAGTTCTGTTAATATTTGAGGTCTTGAGTTTCTTTTTTATTACAAGTTCCAATTTATCTGGAAAAACATGGATGTCATTAATATTAATACTTGCCAAGGTCTGTACTCGTTGACCTGTAGCCAGTGCTATTAACATGGCAGTTTTGTAGGTTAAGTTTTCCAAGTTAAGCGGACTTTGTGACAACCGTTTGATGTAATCGAGGACGATTGCTGGGTCCCATGTCTTATTGTACTTAGGCAAGGGGGGTCTTAAAGAGCTAAGGCCTTTGAAAAGTCTTTTAATCCTGAAATCATCTGATAGGTTTGGCCCCAGGATTTGAGAGATTGCGGCCCTGTATGAGTTAAGAGAGCTGAAGGAGCATCCCCGATTAAATTGTAATGTAAGAAAAGTCAGTACTGAAGGTATTGTCGCTGCATACATATTAATATTTTTGTCCCTACAAAACTGCCACCATAGCCGCAAGCCAACGTTGTACTGTGCGATAGTGGATTCGGTTATTGATGCTAGGCATATGTTCAATGATTCCTCTGGAACGCAGCCTAGCTTCAACGCTTTGGTGATACAGTTGCGGCTACCAGGGTAATGCTCTTCCAGAGGGGATGGGGAGTCCTGTTAAAGGATAGTAGATTTTTACTAGGTCGAAAAATTATTGGTTCACCTTCTGTGAGTGAGGTGAAAATGGGATACCAAGGTTGAGAGCTCCAAAGAGGGACGACAAGGATGCCCCGAGCCTTGTCTGAAATTATTTTTTGTAAGACTCTTAGTACAAGAGAAAATGGAGGAAAAGCATAGAAGAAATACTGTTCCCAGTTCAAAGTAAAGGCATCGCTTGCGAAACTTTCCGGATCTCTCAACCATGATACAAACTTTTTGCATTTTGTATTATTCCTAGATGCGAAAAGATCTATACTAGGAGTGCCAAATTTTCTGACAATTTTGGCAAAAGCAGTTTTATCTAAAGCCCACTCGGTTTCCATTCCCAAACTGCGAGACTCTCTATCGGCTTCTTTATTGTCGCTAGAACTTATGTATGAAGCATATATAAATAAGTTCCTTTGTTCACACCACTGCCAGATAAGGCGTGAAAGTCGGTTTAATGTTGGATATTGGACACTCCCCATCTTGTTAATATATGCGATAGCTGTAGTATTGTCAATTCGACATAGAATATTGCAGTTACGTAGTTTATTTGCAAAGCATTTTAGTCCAAAAAACGCCGCTAAAAGTTCCAAATAATTTATGTGTTGATCTTTTTCGACTTCTGACCAAAAACCCGTGAGTTGTTCTGCCTGTACAATTTACACCCCACCCCGTTCTTGAAGCGTCAGAAAATATTTCCAGCTGAAAATCATCAAAACGGATAGGGTTTATTGCGGTTGGCAAATGATTTAGCCACCACTGGAAATCTTTACCTAACTCCGGGGCTATCCTCATTTTTGCAGTGTAACTGCCCCCTGAGTGACGTAGCGCCAGAAACTTCTGTCGCTCAAACAATTTTGTGTATAGCCACGCATATTTAACACCCGGGCATAGAGATATAAGCTTTCCCACAAACCTGGCAAAATCTCTGATGGAACAACATTTCATGGTTGAGAACTTTTTAATTAGTTTTATTGTATTGAGAATTTTTTCGTTCGGAAGCGATACACACATATCAATTGAGTCATAAAGAAAACCGATATATTGAATTTTTTGAACGGGAACTAGTTTGCTTTTTCTGTGGTTCAGGAGGAAACCGAGTGAGATCAGTAGTTTGCTGGTATAGGAGACATTATCCATGCACTCCTTGTACGTACTGCCAAAGAGTAAGAGGTCATCTAAATATATGACAGAAACAAACCCCATTTCTCTAAGGAGAGTCATTATGGGTTTCATTAGTTTAGTAAACACCCAAGGTGCTACATTTAGCCCAAAAGGCATGCAGTTATATTCGTATATGTTGCCTTCAAATTTGAATCTAAGGAACTTTTTGTGTTTTTCGTAAATGGGTATGAGAAAATATGCATCCTTTAGATCGATTGTACTCATGAAGCAATTTTTCGATATCAGTTTTGTTACAGTACGATGGTCTTCCAGTTTAAAATGTTTACATTTCACAAAGAGGTTTAATTTTTTCAAGTTTAAGATAAGTCTGTTAGTCCCATCATTTTTGGGTCTTATGAAAATATTTGAGAGAAACTGGCCTTTACAAGGGTTTACTAAACTGACGGCTCCGGAAGAGACTAGGTCGTTAATGCATGTTTGAAGCAGAGCCTTTTCATTGACTGACCAACATAAAGTTTTGAATTCTTGTTGTTGTGGTAAAGCCATGAACGGTATTTTAAACCCTTGGATCCATCGTAATGTGATATTTTTCTTAAAATGAAATTTCCACTTATGCAGGAAATATTTTAATCTACCAGCGCTGACCTGTGTGCGGCCTAGCGATTCGGTCTCCCGCGTTGCTTGTGCTGCTGCTGTTTCAATCTGTATTGAGGGGGAACTCTTTTGTTGTAGTATCGGCTCCTCTCTCGGTTCGTTCCCTGTTGGTATCGAGATGGAGCCCTGTGGTTTAACGAGCGAGTCGTTGCAGGAAATCGTTGGGATGAAGTAGGGGCCTGATAGCGAGTTTTGGTAATGGTTTTTGGAGGCTTTGCTTTTAGTATTTTCCTGTATTCTTCGGAACTTTTGGTTGCTTTCATTCGCTCGTCCAAGTTTTGCCCAAAAAGAAAGGTATCCAGAGGGATGTCTTTTGTGGCCTCCTGAAATTCCTTGGAGAGGTTTATTGAGATAAGTTCCCTTCTGGTTATGTTTTGGGAATGCCACAAGTCAGCCAACATTCGACCTGCATTATTGAGTAGTTCAATGTATCGTCTGTCCCCCCCCCCTTCTTCCGATAACAGGAGGCTACAGACCTGGCCAATGCCAGAAAGGCTTGCCGCAACTAAAGACTGTAGTTTTGTCAGTCGCTCATCCCTCAATAAGTTAGATGGAGAAATCGCTTTTTGTACTACAGGGTTAAGCAGTGGAGCAGATAATGTTGTAAAGTTTTCAGGCGGAGGGAGTTTAGACAGAAGGGATTTTCTATCGTCATCAGATAGGCCCGTCTTCAAAATTTTTTCCCATCGAAGGAGCAAATCCTCATGAATTTTTGGCCCCAGTGGTTCAGGAGAGGTGTCTTTCTTCCCCAGTATGTCTATGACATCCTCACTTAAAGGCGCTGTGGAGAATGAAATTTCCTCGGACCTTACATCATTTTCTGAAACAACGGTGAAACTGTAGTTCAAAATAAGTGCGAGATATTGTGGGTATTAAACACATCCGGCTAGCATTCAAGCCAGGATAGAAGACACGAATAGGCTCAGTGTGATATTGAGGATAGGCTATTGCAGATGTATAGCTAAGTTTCTTACACCCGACTAGCATTCAAGTCAGGATCGAGGAAGAAGACATAGATTCATTACAATATGTCGGAATGGGTATCAAAAAGTCAATAAGTGGTCTCTGACTAGCATTCAAGTCAGGCTCAAAACAAAAATAAAACCATATAGAGTCATTACTATATGTCGGAACTGATATCAAAGTTCAATGAGCATAAATGAGTAGTTTTAACTAATTATGTCCCGCCTCTGACTAGCATTCAAGTCAGGCTCAAAACAAAAATAAAACCATATAGAGTCATTACTATATGTCGGGACTGATATCAAAGTTCAATGAGCATAAATGAGTAGTTTTAACTAATTATGTCCCGCCTCTGACTAGCATTCAAGTCAGGCTCAAAACAAAAATAAAATCATATAGAGTCATTACTATATGTCGGGACTGATATCAAAGTTCAATGAGCATAAATGAGTAGTTTTAACTAATTATGTCCCGCCTCTGACTAGCATTCAAGTCAGGCTCAAAACAAAAATAAAACCATATAGAGTCATTACTATATGTCGGGACTGATATCAAAGTTCAATGAGCATAAATGAGTAGTTTTAACTAATTATGTCCCGCCTCTGACTAGCATTCAAGTCAGGCTCAAAACAAAAATAAAATCATATAGAGTCATTACTATATGTCGGGACTGATATCAAAGTTCAATGAGCATAAATGAGTAGTTTTAACTAATTATGTCCGGCCTCTGGCTAGCATTCAAGTCAGGATCAAGGAAAAAATGAAACCATATACGTATAGATTTATCACTCTATGGGGGAAGTGACATCATAAATTGTATATTTTTAGCTGAGCATTTTCCTACCTGCGAGAGCATCGGCAAAAGGCGATCTACGGGTGGTTGACCTTCGAGGGGTGTTCTCATTGCTAGCAGCGTCCGACGTCGAGCAGGAGCGAGATGATGAGTCACTCGTCGACGAAGAAGGGGAATTGGATATGCGTCGTATTCGAGACCGAGACGGGCGGCCTTGCTTTTCCATGGCGCGTAACCGAGCATCCAAATTGTTAATTATTTTTCGAAGTTTTCTAGTTTCGGTATCACCGGAGCGATGTCGATCGCTTCTAGTGCGTTTTGGCATATTTAAGTTCGCAGAGATCCAAACAATGTATATTAGTTGCACTAAAAAAAGAAAAACAAAGAATTCGTTACGTCCCGGCGCGCACTGCTTCGCTGACACACAAATCGAGAATGAACAGGCAGCACCGATACATCTAGGGACTGAGGCAGGGCCGCGGGCAGGGGATGGTTTGTTTTCTTTAAAAATGTGTGAGTGCTGACACCAATCCGAGATACTACAACTAGCTTATTTACGAGGACGGGGCGAGATATAATTAGCTTTTGATGTAACAAAAGATGAGGTACCAGTTAAAATATATTTTATATCCTTGTTTTCAAAATTAAAACGTAACGCCACATTTTTACAGGTATTTATTATATCCAACATTCTGTATCTGACAAAGAAACAAAACTAGATTGCATTGCTTTGTGACAGTCGTCCGAAACAATTAAAACATTCTATTAAACATATTAGCTTGAAAATCTACATATTACTTCTCTCATTTTGATTGGTGCAATCAAATAATATCCCATCGTTTATGAAATGATAGAAATTGGCAATTCTATGAAAGTTATACAGCTTCTGTCAAATGGCATTTCGATAAGCTGTTTGTTCCCTACTTGGTCGAAGACCCCATTAAAACTTAAATGTTGGTAAAATCCACCCGTAATGATGCAAATATTACAGTGTCTGTAGTCCCGTAACACCATGAAACACAGTTTGATAACTTTTCGAAACATTAACTCCGACAAGAAATTTTTTGGTCATGTCCAAAGGTAGCATAAGCATGCAGAAGCAAGGTCTGGGAACACTTAAATATCTCTATCTTCTCTACTCATTACTCCTCAGCATACCAAAAAAACATTAGCTACTTAAGACATTATTTTCCTCAAATTCTATTAGAAACGGCGCAGGATTTTCTGAAATTATGTGGTTACAAGAACGCAACAGACAGACAGATAGACTCAGATTGACAAGCCGACGGGAATGATTCACATGTGATGCAGATATATTTAACCAACAAAAGACATCTTAATCTTTAGACTCTCTATAATTTGGAAAGAACCGCTTTGATGAATGTTTGAAACAATGTCACCAGTACGCTAGTAACGAAAAGGTAGATACTATCTAAGGGATTCGGAGACTGACTCAGTGGCAGCTATGGACAAGCAAAGATAAATGTCTAAGGTATAGCGCTAAAACGTGTCAGAGGATATTGCTGATTCATTCATAAATGTATTCGTTTTTTCAACAAGTGAAACCTTTGTTACAGATATAAAAACAGTCTTGATTTAGAGAGTTACATTAGAGCGTTCTGAACAATGTGTTTAAACACATTAACAGAAGCTTCAAATGCATATACATAGGTAAGCTAGTCTGAGACGGTGTTATGGATTTCATAATTTGTTCCATGAAAGGGGACAAAAAATGTATCAGTATGGAGAGAGGAGAGAGAGGAGAGTCAATTCATTGATAAGTTTATGCAAGAAGGATAACTCAAATTCCAACCTATGACCAAGAAATATCGTATTCATAAAGAGAAGAGTATCGGTATAACTATTCTCCTCGCAATCCCCTGTAAGTTATACTCTGAATTTACTACTATTTTGCAGAAGAAAGCGATACATGATATAGATAAAGGGGATGACTGATGTACTGCACCCTATTTACCTTTTCCGGTAATTTTTTCAATGATTTTATTCCATCAACTCATATTCCACAAGAACATGAGTTCTGCTTTAAAGGGAAATGGCATTCGACTAAATTTGGGCTTTCAGAGCAACTGTCAATTAAAAGACAGCAAAAACGTAGTCTACAGGTTTTGACTTGACATTTAACCCTGGAATACTAACCATAGTACATTTTACGATGCTACTGTTTTTTGCTCGCAATTTTATCATCGCAGTACAATTACTTGCGCTGGGCTCTCGTCTAGTCTTCTGCTAAGCCAATGTGATCACAGTACTGTGGTGGTACTGTGTAAGAAAGATTCCGATATCCATTAGATGTGTGTCAATTTAAGAGCCATGTCGTAATTTTTACGAAGGTTACTGTTTACGGATTGAAAATTAAGGTTAGTACTCCAGGGTTAATTATGTAAAGATCGATTGTTTTATAACGATCTTAGAAATTACTCAGGTGTGGCTTTAAGGAATGAAAAAACAGCTTATATAAAATATCAACTAAATAAGAACAGGAATAATCCCAAGCAACTATGGAAAGTTCGTTCCATCTAGTTACATCTGATGATATTGAAAGGAAACTGAGAGAAGTGAAATCAAATGCTGCTGGTATAGACGGTATTACTACAATTATGCTGAAAAATGTATTTTCTTTTTGCAAAGGTGAAATAACGGATATCATAAATCAATCTCTGAACACAGGAGAGGTACCAACATTATGAAAGAAATCAGTTGTAACGCCACTAGCAAAAATCAATAACACTATACAGATGAAGGATTTGAGACCAGTAAGCACCTTACCGGTGATGTCTAAGCTTGCAGAGAAAGTTGTAGCTGACCAACCATCTAGAAGTAAATAAAGTCCTCCCCGGTACACAGTCGGGATTCAGAAAGCTACACAACACATCCACAGCGCTTATAAAAGTAACTAGCGATATAGTCAAGTTCATGGATGATGGTATGGTGACCGTTGGATTATAGTACGGCATTTGACATGGTCAACCATGAAGTATTATGTAAAAAGCTACAATATTATGGTTTGTCCAGTAATGCCTTACTGTGGTTCAACAACTACCTGTCTGGCAGGTCCCTGTGCACAAAGATATTTACCAGAATGTCATCTTTACAAAATGTAACTTCTGGTGTTCCGCAAGGATGTGTATTAGGTCCATTACTATTTACATTCTATACATCTGCTTTATTTAATTTTACATCTCATGATTGGAGTATATATCTATATGCTGATGATGTACAAATGTATAAAGCTTGCAAGCCAAATGAAGTTAATTAATTGATTTTAGAATTAATTATAAATCTAGAAATGATTGCAAATTATTCCAAAAATTATTGTCTGAAACTTAAGCTTGCTGCATTGAGTCTATGTTAAATAATTCAAAATTTGAGGAATTGATGAGTACAGACATTGCTTTAGATGATACAGCTGTTGAAATTGTATAGGAGACTAAAAATGTACGAATTTTATTCGATACAAATTTAGGTTTTGCGAACCATGTCATTAATAAACTTCGAGTATGCTATTGTAAATATAAGTAACTTTGGAGATACAAACATTTTTTTTTTTATATCGAAACAGCCGCGCAGGCAGAAGCCTAAATGCCGGAACACCGCGGCTGTTATGATGATCCCAAAGAAATTTTGTTAATACGATTTTTGAACTGCCTAAGGTTAGTAGAACTGGGAAAAGCTTCCTCCCGTAGATTGTTCCACAATCTAGACACCCTCGGGACAAAGGAGCGGTCGTATCGGCCAGTTCTGGATGTACGAAGTTTGACACGGTTAGGATGGGACGCCGAAGTCAGGCGGGTCCGTCTGGCAGGCACATCGCGCGGCGGCATCATGGAAGAGAGCTCTGAGGAGCAAAGCCCGTTGGTGTAGCGATAGAAAAGAGCTAGATCGCCGACGGCCCGCCGGTGCGAAAGAGTCCCGAGACTGTCTGTTAGAGAAGAGTCGTCGATCAGTCGGACCGCCCTCCTCTGGACAGCATCGAGCATGGACAATGTAGTCGGGGCGGCAGCACCCCAAATGTGTGAGCAATACTCGAGGCTAGGCCTTATCTGGGCCTTGTATAGAGTGAGAATGTCATGCGGAGAAAAGTACTTCTTAGCCCTAAACAAATAGCCTAGCTTTTTCCCAGCAGCTGCAGCTATTGAAGAGATGTGTTCGTGCCAGATCAGGTCCTCGGTGATCTGGACTCCGACCAGCCGAAATGAATGGCTCTTTGGTAGAACTCGACCGTCCATCGAAACTGTATGAGCGCTAGGACGCTTTTTGTTCGTCAAAGTACAGTACTGTGTTTTGGAAGCATTGAACTGTACAAGATTGTTGCGTCCCCAAGCAGTGATAGCCTCCAGGTCTCTTGTCAGAGAAGAAATCGTCGCTAGTCTTCTTTTTTCCAGCTCAGCGGCAGAGATCGGCTTGTCACTCTGAATTCCTGCATGTAGAGTGCTGTCATCAGCGAAGCTGTGGATTGGGTTGATCGTGCAGGAAAGGAGGTCGTTGATATGTAAGAGAAACAGTGTTGGAGCCAAGACCGATCCCTGGGGAACACCCGCGTTGACGTTGTGGGATGAAGAGGAGAATCCGTCAATTACGACGGATATCTTGCGGCCAGAGACAAAGTCAGCCACCCATCAAGCTTTTCTGGGAGGCCATAGGATGGAAGTTTGCTTAAGAGGGCAGCGTGCCACAGGTGATCGAATGCTTTCGTGATGTCAAGAGCAACGACATGAGCCTCACCATGAGACTGGATGAGTTTACTCCACAATTGCGTGACGTAAGCTAGGAGGTCGCCTGTGGATCGTTGGTGCCGGAAACCGTACTGCCTGTCGCTAATCATGCTGTGACGTTCGAGGTAGTCCAGAAGCTCGCGATTTATGCACCTCTCCATCACTTTACTTATAACAGAAAGCAGAGCAATAGGCCTGTAGTTGTAAGGGTCGGTTTTAGATCCTTTTTTTGGGATAGGCTGTACATGAGCAAATTTCCAGTTTTCTGGGAAGGTGCCGGATTCATAAGATATCTGGAAGAGACGCGAGAGAACTGGAGCAAGCTCCGCTGCACATCTCTTCAGTACAATGGCAGGAATCAAGTCCGGACCAGAAGCTTTGTTGATGTCGAGCGACAAGAGCACTCGTCTTACGGTCTTATGCCTGAATGTTACCTCCCGCATAGTGTGGGGAACCCTTTGAATTGACGGCACTTGGGCGTTGGTGAGGACGTCCATGGTGGAATTGGCAGCAAAGATCTTGGCTAGCACTTCCGCCTTGGCCTTTGAGTCGAATACAATAGTTCCATCCTGACACGTAAGTGGTGGAAGGCTACTGTGTGAGAAGTTCTTTTCAATCTGCTTGGCCAGCGTCCAGAAAGACCGACTGCCATTTTATATCATGCTGGTTTTTGGCATTGCGAACCGCTTCGTTATATTTGTTTCTGGACTCGACGTCGGCTTGTCTGTTCTCTACAGTGGGGTTTTGTAAGTAGGTTCTGTGGGCCTTGATCTTCTGCTGGCGAGCAGTGTCACACGATTTGTTGAACCA